ACAGGCTAAAGTAAGTGAGGTTATTATACTATATCACAACCTAGGAAATTCTTAGGAAATCTCAAACTAAATTCACAGCAATTTTTTGGACAAGGCAGTAGCGAATTTTATTCACATGACGAGTACACCATGAAATGAAATGTTAATCCGCAGTCAAACAGTTTATAGAAATTCTATGCGTATACAACTTGTTGGTAAACGTACGGCATTTATAGCAATCAAAATATTGGGACATTAAATACAATCCCCAATTAATTCATGTCCCAAAAAATGGGCGCGGATAAAGAAGTTATATTTTGAAAAATTGTAAAAAATTTACATTCTATACCTTAAAAGAAACACAAGTTGTCTTTTGGTTTGTGACTAATACGATAATGTATGTATGTACCAATCTTTGGTAGCGACCACACGAGAGCTCACTCCAACGCAATTTGAAAAAATATTTAAATCCTTTTAAAGATATTTTTGTGCTTACTTCTTTCTCTGCACTCGTTTTTATCGTCAAAAATCCTTTTCGCATCTACTAAAAGAAGCGGAATATTCAAATTAAGTGCTCATTTCATTAGAACTTTAAGCTGATTTGCTTTTGCAGATCACGCAATTTATGACTGAAATCTTTCTCATTCTGGCCGTTCGCTGTGTCATTTCCCAAGCGACATCTCGCCTTTTTTTGCCTTAATCATCATATAATTGTTGCAAAATGACCTAATAGCATAGATAATAGTTACGATGCTGAATTATTTAAACAGTCCTCTAAAGTTAATTGATGAGGACAGCTCTTTTTATCAAGCTGCTACTGACACCCGTGCTTTGCTCCCTGTTTTTTTTTTCTCAAATAAAAAAACATCTAATTCTAAAAATAATCGTTGGTAATAAAACTGCATCGCAGCCAGTGTTGTAAAGGGTACAGATTAAAGCGAATAATCATAGCGCGCGATGTGTTCTGCGCGTCAATTTGACTATATCTTTTTGATAGATGGCTAAAGCGAGCCATTTAGTTCTCATTAAGGTTGCCACCTATATGCCAAC